TTTTTTTTTTCTTGTTCAGCATTGCTTTGGCTAGTCTAAGTTTTTTGTGATTCCATGAACATTTTAGGATTACTTTCTCTAATTCTATAAAGTATGTCATTTGTATTTTTAAGGGATTGGATTGAATTTGTAAATTGCTTTAGGTGTATATACATTTTAATTATATTGATTCTTCCTATCCATCAGAGAGAAAAGTCTTCCCATTTTGTGTGTTCTTGATGATTTCTGTCTTCAATGTTTTGTAAATTTCATAGTAGAGATTTTTTTTTTTTTACTTATTTGGTTGAATTAATTTGTAAATATTTTAATTTTTGTGCTGCTATTGCAGATGGGATTTCTTGATTTTCCTGTGAGTTTAACATTAGTTTCCAAAAGCCTATTCTTTGTAACATTATTTTGCAACATGAAACTTTACTAAATTGATCGATTCTAACAGCTTTCTGGTGGAGAGTTTAGGATTTTTGCTGTACAGCATCAGCATCATTTGCTCTGCAAATTTGGGTAATTTGGCTTCCTCGTTTCTGATTTTGATGCCCTTTATTTCTTTCTCGTCCCTGATTGCTCCTGTTGAATCTTTCGGTAATGTATTGAATAGTAGTGGCAGAAGTGGACAGCCTTATCTTGTTCCAGATCTACGGGCATAAATACTTGTGGCTGTACTCCCCCTGGTATGATATTGCTTGTTTGTGATATATAACCTTTATAATTGTGAGGAATACTCCCTTTCTGCCTAGTTCATTGACAGTTTTTATCATGAAGGAGAAGTTGAATCTGATGTTTTTTCTGTGTTGATTGAAATGACCATGTGGTTTTTGTTCTTGACTCTTGGGACGTACGATGTTCTTCAGTGGTTTGCAAACATTGATTCACTTTGTATTTTTGGGATAAGTCCCACTGGATTGTGATGTATGATCTTTTTGACGTTGTTTTGGATTTGATTTGCTACTTATTTTGCTGAGAATCTTTGTGTCTGTTTTCATTACATGTACAGGTCAGTGGTTTTCTTTTGCACTGTGTGTTTTATTATGGTTTCAAAGTAATGCTGGCCTCAGAGCAAGAGTTTGGCAGAGTTCCATCCTGTCCAATATTTTGAAATACTTTAAAGAGTGTTGGAGTTACTTCCTCTTTGAATATTTTATAGAATTTAGTAATAAAGCTGTCAGGCTTGGAACTTTTCCTTTTTATAAGACTTGAATATTGCTTCAGTCTCATTGCTTGTTACTAGTCTGTTTAGGTTGTCCTTATCTTCTTTTTCTTTTTTTAAAGGATTTATTTATTTTTATTGGGAAGCCAGATTTACAGAGAGAAGGAGAGAGCAAATTCAAATCATCCACTGATTCATTCACCAAGTTGCTGCAGTAGCTGGCGCTGAGTCAGTCCAGTGCCAGGAGTCAGGAACTTCTGGGTTTCCCATGCGGGTGCAGGGCCCCAAGGATTTGGGCCATCCTCTACTGCTTTCCCAGGCCACAAGCAGAGAAATGGATGGGAAGTGGAGCCGCCGGGACACGAAGTGGTGCCCATATGGGATCCCAGTGCATGCAAAGTGAGGATTTAGCCACTAGGCTGTTGCACAAGATCCTGTCCATTTTTTCTTGATTTAATGTTGGCAAGTTGTGGGTTCCAATGCAGTGGCCTAGCAGCTATGGTCCTTGCTTTGCACATGCCAGGATCCTATGTGGACAACTCTTCATGTCCCAGCAGCCCAACTTCCCATCCAGCTCCCTGCTTGTGGGCTGGGAAGGCAGTTGAAGATGGCCCAAAACCTTGGGACCCTGTGCCTGGCATCGGAGACCCTGAAGAGGCTCTGGGCTCCTGGCTTCAGATTGGCTTATCTCCGGCCATTGTGGCCACCTGGAGAGTGAATCAGCAGACGGAGGATCTTCCTCTCTGTTTCTCATCCTCTCTGTACATCTGACTTCCCAATTTAAGAAAAAATTCTTTATGTTGGCAAGTTGTAAGAATACAGTAATTTATCGTTACCTTAGAAGTTTCCAAGATTGTTAGCATATAGTTTTCTATATTTCTTGGTATTTTGGTGGCGTTGGTTGTAATGTTTCCTTATTCACCTTTGATTTTGAGGTTTTTTTTCTTTTTTTTTTCTTTGTTAGATCTGGTTAGAGCTTTGTCCATTTGGTTTATTTTCTCAAAACCCAACCTTTTGCTTCATTGATCTTCTGTATTGTTTTCTTAGTTTCAGTTTTATTTCTGCTTTGATCCTTGTTATTTCTTTCCTCCTGCTGAGTTGGGATTTGGCTGGTTCTTGTGTTTTTAAGTCTCCAAGATGCATCGTTAAATCTTTGAGATGTTTCTCTTCATTAATGTAAGCACTTAATACTGTAAACTTTTGTCATAATACTGTATCCCAGTATTTTAATATTTTGATATTTTTCCACTTGCTTTTATTTCAAGGATGTTTTTGAATTTTCTTTTTAATTCCTTGAGTGATCTATTCAATAGCATGTTTAATTTTCAAGTATTTATGCGTGTTGCATTATTGTGTTGTTGATTTCTAGTTTTACTACTTTATCATAGTCTGAGGAGATACATGGTATGATTTCAGTCTTTTTAAATTTGCTAAGACTTGATTTGTGGCATACTAATGTGGTCTGTCCTAGAAAATGTTCCATGGGCATTTAATGAGAAGAGTGTGTACTCTGTTGCTATGTGGCGAAATGTCCCATAAATGCCTCTCACATCCATTTGCTCAGTGGTATCTTTTAAGTCTAATATAGCCTTATTGATTTTACTTTCTGGATGATCTGCACATTGATGAGAGTGGAGTGTTGATGTCATCCACTGTTATTGTATTGGAGTCTCTCTTCCTCTTGGTCAACTAGTATTTGGTGTATGCATCTGAATGGTCTTGTGTTGGGTATGTGTATGTTCATAGTTGCTATTTCTTTTTGCTAAATTGAATCTTCTCAAAATATAATGTCCTTCTTTATCTTGTTTTACAGTTTGATTTAAAGTCTGTTTTATCCTTTATCTGTTTTATCTGAGGTAGCTACTCCTGGTTACTTTTGGGTTCAATTTTCCTTGTGTATCTTTTTCCATCCCTTCACTTTCAGTCTATGTGGATCCTTGTTTGTGAAGTGAGTTTCTTGTAGGCAATAAATAGTGGGGTTGTAGTTTTTTATTCCTTTAACCAATAGAAGTTTTTAAGGCATTCACATTCAAGGTTAGTATTGATGGATAAGAACTAAGACCTGTCATGTTATTCCTTGCATCGTGATTCTATATGTTCTGTTAATGAATTAGGTAATGACACATGTCTCATGTTTTCTTCTTTTTTAAAAAACATATTTTTATTATTTCCCATGACATATTTTTGTAGGAATAGGGATTCCCATCCTGCCCTCACATTTCTTCCTCTCTTCCCCTACGTTTTCGCCACATTATTATAGTAATATAGTCCTTTAGTAACAGTTACAAGTTTAAGATTCGGCTATTCAAGTATATCATGGAATTGCAGGTATAGACAATGATAGAAAATCTAGTATCGTATTGTCATTTGACTGTTTCAGTGGGAGTTCCCCATTTATTCAGAAGTAGAGATGCAGACTGAATATCTTCACTTCCTGGTATGCTAGTCTTCATTATACAGTTTGTGAGAGTCTATGTGTGTGTGTGTGTGTGTGTATTTGTTCACCTATGTGTCTGTTAGTTTTATATTTTGCATGAATGTTACCTTATATCAGAGAGAATATGTAATGTTTGTCTTTTTGGGATTGGCTTATTTCGCTAAGCATCATGGTCTCTAGCTGGGACCATTTTATTGCAAATGGTAGAATTTAATTCTTTTTTTTTAAAGATTTATTTTTATTATTTTTTTATTGGAAAGGCGGATATACAGAGAGGAGAGACAGAGAGGAAGATCTTCCGTCCGATGATTCACTCCCCAAGTGAGCGCAACGGGCCGATACTATGCCGATCCGAAGCTAGGAGCCTCTTCCAGGTCTCCCACGCGGGTGCAGGGTCCCAAGGCTTTGGGCCGTCCTTGACTGCTTTCCCAGGCCACAGGCAGGGAGCTGGAAGGGAAGCGGGGCTGCCGGGATTAGAACCGGCGCCCATATGGGATCCCGGGTGTGCAAGGCGAGGACCTTTAACCACTTGCGCCACCGCGCCGGGCCCGGTAGAATTTAATTCTTTTGTTTACTTCTAATGCAGGACATAATTCAGAATTTCTTCTAAGACTGGTGTTTTGCTTAGCTGGAGAATACTTTATTCTTTACTTCTAAAGGATAGCTTTACTGGATATAATATTCTTGGTTGGAGTGAGTTTTGTTTGTTTTCTTTTAAGGCCTTGAATGTATCATCTCGCTGTCTCTGGCCTGGAAGGTTTCCATTTGCAAGTCTGCTGTCACACAGTTTAACTGGTTTTCCTTTATGTGTAACTTGATGTTTTTTTCTTGTTTTGGGGATTTTCTTCTCTTCTTTGACAATTTGATGACCATGTCTTGGAGAAGACCTTTTTGAATTGAGTCTGCTTGGGACCTTTGGAGCTTGTGTCTGGACGGCCTTATTTCTTTCAAAACCAGCAAAATTTTTAGGCATTATTTCATTTAGCAGGTTTTCTAGGCTTTTTTACTTTTCTTCACTGTCAAGAATACCTATTATATGAATATTTGGTTGCTTAATAGTATCTGTATTTCTTGTAGACTCTCAGGCACACCCGTATGAGACATGGGCATCTCAATGACGTCTTGCTCCCTAGGCCATGCTGTCTTAGGGTCTGCAGCAGAAACATCTGAGACCAAGGGAATGCTTAGCACAAAGACATCGAGGAGGAACAGTTGTTAACTTACACAATGCTAAAACACAATGCTTGCCCTGTGTCATTTATTTTTTATAACATGTTGAGGTAGGTTCCTATAATTAGCCCAATTTTGAGTGTGGAGTCCCTGGGTTTAGGAGAGTAAGACTGTAGATCATTGGTGCCTTCTCGTTCTCTAACATGGCTTTAGGGTTCAAACTGTGACTCCTTGATTTTATCTTTCCAGGCTTTCACGAGAAAGACAAGAAGCCATATTGCCGAAAGGATTTCTTAGCCATGTTCTCTCCCAAGTGTGGTGGTTGCAACCGCCCAGTGTTGGAGAACTACCTTACAGCCATGGACACCGTCTGGCATCCAGAGTGCTTTGTGTGTGGGGTCTGTATAGCCTGCATCTTCATGCATCCTTTGGGTTCAGGGAAAGTCAGGGCTCTTGTCTTCTACAAGAGGAGCTCCTCATAGCCCTAGATAAGGCATTTATGTGGGAGGACTTCCTCAGGGGAAAACGAAGAAACATTTGTGTGGGCATGTGCTGGTCTGCTGACTAAGAGGGACACGCTAGCCTCATTTGTCAGGGATCCAAGTGAAATGCCTGCAGCTAGTTGTAATGTCAAGGCTGAATATTGGACTTTGCTGATGACTCACCTCTTACTGTGTTCCTTCCTTCTCCCGCCCCACCCCAAACAGGACTGCTTCAGTGGTTTTTCTACTGGTTCCTTCTATGAACTGGATGGCCGTCCGTTCTGTGAGCTGCATTACCACCAGCGCCAAGGAACCCTCTGCCGTGGATGTGGGCAGCCCATCACTGGCCGCTGCATCAGCGCCATGGGGCACAAGTTCCACCCTGAGCACTTTGTGTGCGCATTCTGCCTGGCGCAGCTGTCGAAGGGCATCTTCAGGGAGCAGAATGACAAGACCTACTGTCAGTCTTGCTTCACCAAGCTCTTCTCTCTGTAATCTCAACCGACCCACAGCCTCTTCAGGTCCCTGTTACAACTGAAAGCTAGTGACCCGTGGCTTCATATGTTTACAGAATGAAGGCAGTGAGCAAATAAGGGAACTTAGAGTTGTTCTATGTATAGGCATATAGTCTTTATTTTTAATACTTAGGTTTAGATCTGGGTCCTGCTAACAGTCCGCTCAAGATGGCTTTTCCACATGCACAGTTTCTTTCACTGCTGGTTTTCTTAGATTTCTGTTTTTCCACTTCGGCTGATGTCACTGCTGCTAACTGTCCTCTTCCATGTTTCCTCCATTTCCCAGTGGCACACTATTCCACGTTCACTGCTACGATTTTATTCTTACTGTCAGGAATCGTAAAACCATTCTTAAGCGCCCTGTTTCTCCCTCCAGTGCATTTCTCATTTTCAAGAGGAAGTAACCTTTAGATAAAATAAATAAATAAAATAGCTGTGGTTTTAATGACTCACTGTCATACTTGTTTGGTAGATAAACTTGCCTTTTTGTTTGTTATATACTATGCACTTTGAATTAAATTTGTACTCTTGTGTTTTCTTGCGTAAAATGGGGATTTAGAAATACTAGAAGTAATGAAAAGGAAGGACTCTTTACTTTAGACCCATAATCATCACATATGTTTGGATTTAGATGATTGGATCCTATTAAAAGAACAACAAAGCTTTGTAAAATTGATGATGTAAGGAGAGAATCTGTCCATTAGAAGTTCAAACACCCATCTCTACTTCACAAAGTCAAGTCTGAACACAATTTAAAGCCCGTTCTCTGAGTTTCTTCAAGAAGTGTTGCTGTAAGGGATTTTGTCATTCTGAGGGCTGGGTTAGGAAAGGCACGGCCCAAAGAAAGACTTTCTTCAAGTGCCTCCCTCGTGTCTTCTCATTTTGTTACTAACACTGCGGGAGGAGTCATGCTTCCTTAGAGAGGATACTGATAAAATTTATGCTTTTCTCCGATCATTAAAAATAATTTCTTGATTAATTGTTATAACAAAAACCAATCTTTTAGATTTCTTTAGTTTGAAGCAATTTACAAAAATGTCTGTTGATATTTGTAAATATGTGAATAAAATTTTTTTTTAAATTGTAGACAAATGAAATTAAAGGATAAGTTTAGGGCCTGGCACAGTAGCCTATTGGCTAAAATTCTCACCTTGCACATGCCAGGATCCCATATGGGTGCTGGTTTGTATCCCTGATATTCCACTTCTCATCTAGCTTCCTGCTTATGGGCTGGGAACATGGATGAGGACGGCCAAAAGCCTTGGGACTCTGCACCTGCGTGGGAGACCCAGAAGAAGCTTCTGGCTCTGTGCTTTGAATCAGCTCAGCCCTGGCCATTGCAGTCACTTGAGGAATGAACCAGTGCATGGAGATCCTTCTCTCTGTAAACCGGACTTTCTAATAAATAAATAAAATTTTAAAGACAAATATTTTGTGCAAAATGTCTTGACATCTGTACCTCGTTCTTTTTAGTGTACACCTTCTGTGGGCTTTCTGAAGACTCTTTGGCATGGATTTCAATATATCTCTTCACCAATATAAACTCACCTTCTAATACCATTTTCTGCGTGCATTTTGGAGTAGCATCAAACTTGGCATCTTTATTTAAATCATTATTGGAAATAGTACTTGAAAACAGGAATGGACTAAATGATTCTTGCCTGGTTTTTTTGTATCTGTGTTATTTGTTGGGACACGTAATAAAGGAGTTTTGAGAGTCAAGAGGAAGTAATACCAGTTACTTCTGTAAAATAGTAACTCCAACTGTATGTAAGAAATGTGGGGGGTCACGCAGAAGTACAGCCATCTGGGCCTCTCTCTTCCTCGCCAGCTGAGACTTCCAGGCCCTGCAAAATGCACATTTAACTTCTAAACATCCTTTTTACAGCATCTTCACTCTGTGATGTCATGTGCAGGTGTTAATACGATAGTGTTCATGGTTGCCATGGCAATTCGACAAAGTAAACTTAGACATGTAGCATTAAAAGGAATGTGCAGGTGCTGTAACTGCTTTTAATGAATAACTATTTTGAAATTTTCAGTGGAATCTAAATATTTAAGAATATCAGAAAAGCTAGAACTCATTAAGCTGTAAAGACGACTTCTCACAGTGAATGTATGTGGTTATATTTGTTCAAGAAGAGATAGTGAAGGGGCCAGTGCAGTGGCATATGGGTACAAATTCATGTCCAGGCTGCTTGAGTTCTGATGACACTCCCTGCTTGTGACCTGGGAAAGCAGCAGACTGGAGTCTGGCAAGGTGAGTTTCTGCTGAAATTTCTCTCCTTGTCTTGCACGTAGCTGCCGCCTTTATGTGTTTTCTGTTTCCCTCAAGGGAGGGACGGAACACTGCCTAGAGTCTCTCCTATTAATGATCTTAATTTTATTCTGTTCAATGTCCCACCCTTATGATTTCATTTAAAATCATTTAATTCCTTACCACAAATACAACCATACCGACTTTCATGTATCTAGGAGGGCCACATACAATCAGTTCATAGCATCCGGAAAATTTCTCCTTAAAGAAAATAGGTATACAAAAAGTTGAGAAAGGAAAAAAAGAACATTTATCATGATTCTGAGGCAGAATCTCAAACACACTTTTCTGTGCTTCGGAAGTCAGGAGTGATGATTTTTATTATGTTCAACAACCCTTAGAAAATAGAATTTTTATTCACTGGAAATGCTCTTATATATTCACACATGAGTAAAGAAATATAGGAAGATCAAAAATAGAAATGAGCTTAGGGACAGGTTTTCATAAGATAATCCAACAATTCTGAAAAGGAGGAAAAATAGGTGAGGATAAAGAGGAGAATACAACAGAACTTGTGAGTTGGGCAAGGTGAAGTTCCCAGAGTTTCTAGAAAAATGGCAACATGTGAAAATAAACAAGGGTAATGGTCAGATTTTTTTTCTTTTAATGGGAAAGGTAGAATACAAAGAGAAGGAAATACAGAGAAAGAGGTCTTCCACTGCTGAATTGCTCCCCAAATGGCTTCAGTGGCCAGAGCTGCGCTGATACTGGAATCCAGAAGCTTTTCCCAGGCTCGCTCATGTATACAGGGACCTAAGGGGTTGGGCCATCCTCAGGTGCCTTCCCAGGCCATAAGCAGGTTGCTGGATTGGAAGTGGAGCAGTTGGGAGACAAACCGACACCTGTATAGGACTCCATATCACAGGTGGAGGGTGAGCTTGCTTTGTCATTGCATCAATCCCAGTGTCAGTTTTTCATCACTTTAAATTCTGGAGAGGAGATTCCAAAGAAGAAAAGGTGTTAGTTAGTTTTTAGTTTACAGGTTTTGGCTTACGGTTGGAGATACATAGTCCAATATTCCAAGATTAGGGCAGCCCCATCAGTCCAGTGTCAGAAGGAGGTTGGCAGAGGCCGGAGATAGACGCAAGAAGCAAGCTGGGCTTATGCAACCATCCCTATCGGGACCATCACCTTCAGAGAGCAAGCTTCAACAGCTTCCTGCCAGGCCCGTCAGATAAACTCTCCACCTGAATCTGTCCCGTGTTAACATAACACTCTGCAATGTAAACATTCCTGTCAGTTTTAGGAGCCAAATTTCAATCCATAACAGACACAGAGCACAAGCACTGTGAAGGAAAGCCAGTGTAGGCCAGGCCTGTTCCTCACTCCCTTTACGCAATCTGGCGATGCTGTGGATTATCCTGGAGTGTCTCTTTAGTTTGCATTTTGCTAGAAATAGACCTTGAGACACGGACATGTGCACTATGTATTCAGGAGTGATCTCCGTGTACGCAGGTAGGAGAGTGAGGAGGAAGAGCAGCAAAGGAAAACAAGACAATTCCACACACGGGTTGCAGCTCTGGGCAGTTAGAAGGCAACACCTTTGAGCATCTGGGACTTGTCGCAGGACACCGACACTCACGCCCAAGCCCATCACTGTGTGCAAGCTGAGTGTGTTTCCATGTCTAAGAAAACCTCTTTTCTAAGTCGTAGATGTCTGGTGATAGAGGTGTCTGAGAGTGTCTATTAGCTGCTTATTCTAAGATGTCTTCTTAAATGTCTATTCTAAGTCTACTGATGTGAACAGAAAGCATTGATGTTCACCTACAAGTGAGTACCCACAGATATGAACGGGGAACTGATAGCATCCGTTGGGGAACTGCAGAGGTCGTTATGACACCTTGAAAGTGTGGTAAGGCATTCATTTTCAAAACTTTAGTCCAAGTCTTCGGATGATTCATGTGTTTTATGGAGGGTAGTGGTGGCAGAAGAGACTGATGAAGTGAGTTCACAGGCAAATATCATTAGTTCCGTTTGTGAATGGAAAAAGTGACCACTTGAATAGACCAAAGCCACTCAATTTGATGGCAAGACTAGAGCAGGTATTCAAGTTTGCTAATTCCATGTCTGGGCTGCAATCTCTTAGCTTCTGTATTAGCGATGTAAAGCTCATCTAGGAAATATGGCCCAGGAAATGAATTTTCAAAGGATAAGCAAGGGTGCTAGGGCATGAAAGTAATCTAGTTCAGCAGGCCGTGCTATTGAGAGTGTACGTCAAGAAGAGCAGCCCTGGCATCAGACTCAAGTTGAAGTGCTGCTTCTACTTCTTACCGACTGTGCGAACCTTGGTTAAGCTGCTTGTCTTCCCCCCACCTCAGTTTCATAATATGCTAAGTGTGGGTGATAATACTTCCCATGTGGGTTTGCCAAGAGGATTAACTGAGATAATAAAAGACAGAGGATTTTGTAAACCAGCAAGTATCATATGTAAAAGGCATTAGTGAAATAGTTTAAGAGATACGTGGAGAAGTGAATGCGGCATCCAGCCCCAGCATTTCCATGGAAACGGTAACACCATAGCAGGTTCTTAGTTTTTTTTTTTTTTTTTTTTTTTTTATGATTTTAGAAGTCTTTTTTTTTTTTTTAGGGCTCAGGATGAAAGTGGGTGGAATCCAAAATCCTGAGAGATTAAGAGAAGTGTGCTTGGGTTTGAGCTCATAATCTTCCTTTTCTGAAACAAATTGAAAAAGTAATGCTCAGGAGTGAATGGTTTCAGAAATCCATGCAGTTAGCTGCATCCCAAAGATAGGAAAGATGTAACCTAAGTGAAGGGATCGCAGCCATGGGAAAATAGTTCAGAAATCTTCCAAGGACAAAATTTGTATGATTCTCCAACGATCCTCCCACACTCCAAGGGAAAATGCTAAGAGAATCTTCGAAACCACCAGTACTTCCTTCAACATCAGAGCTAGGACTCCACAGCAAGATGGTGTCACTCTGTCGGCCAATCCCAAATCTACCAAAGGGAAAATTATATTGTGTGTTTGTGTGTGTCCCATCATTTTGGACTCATGCTTTTGAGTTAGTGTTGGCAGGCAGGGGGAGCTTGTCAATGTGGGTCTTGATCTCAGGAACGATTCTTTGCCCAAGCTTTGTCACATGTTACCGTCCCTTCATAAATCCCATCGAGA